CTTTATTAAATTTAAAATCCATGAAGATTTTTTTACTCTTGAGATCGTAGAAGGATTGAACTTTATTAATAAAATTAAAATTTTAATATTTTATAAATAAATTACATAATTATTGATTGTAATAAAAAATATTATCATAATTGATAAATGGGGGGTTGGTGAGCAAAATTGTACATTTGGTTTTAAGGATAATTATACTTTTAAATTTACGATGTAATTTAAAATTTGAATCAGTACCAACTTATCAAATGGAATTGTACTGTCTCATGTACCATTTATGATGTTCTATAGTTATGAAACTTTTTTTAAAAAATTAATATTTAGTTAAGTAGTTATCATTCAACATCATAACATGCGTCTCCTCTCCCCCCTAAAAAAAAGCACATTAATGCAATATTATGACGATAAAAAAAATGAAAATTAAAATATCAAGATTAGAGATGGTAATGGATCGGGTCAAAGCGAGTTTTTATTCGTCTTGAACTCAACTTGATTTTATACCGGTTAAATTTGAACCGAATTTGATTTGACCTAAATTTTTTTATTTTTTTAATATTCGAATCTGACTCAACATTGTATAAATCATACTCGATCCAACCCGACTCGATCCGAAATTAATAAAATATTATTTTTTAAAATATAAAATATTATTTTTTAAATATAAATATTTAAATATATAATTATATAAATATATATAAATAAAAAATTAATTTAAAAATTATTTTTATATAATATCAGGTTGGATTGAGTTTGTCTAAAACTCGAACTTGACCTGACCTTTTTCAACGTTACTTGACCTGATCAAACTTGAAATCTGATTTTCAAAAAAAAAAAATCAATCTTATAAAATCGGATCGAGTCGAAACCCATCGAAAACGGATTGGATTGCCTACCCTAATCAAGATGTTGACATCTAGTATTTAACTTTGCTCCATAAACCTTTAAGTTAGGATAATTATTGAAACATATAATTTTCTCAAACATTTAACAATTATTTATGTAAGCAATGAAATTTGGACACTATCGTTATGATAAAATATATAAAAAAGATAATATATTATTAAACAAAAAATGAAATAAATATCTTTAGAAAGTTTAGTTATAATTACAAGAAAGTGAAACCCACTTGCTAAACAAAATGAAAGGCAAGCCCCATGGGAAACTTTATTATTATTATTATTATTACATATCTTTATTTAGTGAATTTTTTTTTTTTACAAAAAAAATTTATTGACAGGAAATTGGTGTAGCAGAGGAAATTTTAAGAGTCATGAATCAAATTCTATCTTTGCGAGAATTTATATGTAAAAAATAATTGGTAACCAGTTTAGATTAAACCTTAAATTCTATTTTAGTTAAATTGTATAAATGAAAAAAAAAATAGAAAGAGATTCAATTGTTAACTTCTCTTTTTAATGATTAAGAAAAGTGTATCGATTTTTATTTTCTCTAAGGAAAGATTTAAAATTTTGAATGAATGTTGTGTTAATCTTGTTTTTTTTAGAAAGGCATAGCCTTATAAAGCAAAATGGCAACTCCCAACCATATATCCAAGGCATGAGGATTAAATTAGATTAATTTTTGTTTTACCTAATGAATGTTTAGATCTCTTTGAACAACTAAACTAATTATTAGTGCATGTGTAAGAAATCTGAGTATATCAATTAGCATTGGATGAGATATATACTTGTATTTTGGCATTGCTCAAACCCAATAACGATAAGCCATCGATTATATTATCAACTAAAGGCAAATGAAAAGTTGGAATTTAGACTTGGAGATATCAAATTCGGGTCTTATAATATGAAATGGATGAGACTTTTAGATGAGAAACCCTAATTAGCTCTCAATTTTGGGTCAAAACTCAATCAATCTCCACATAAAAGAAAAAAAAAATTGAAAAACGAGTATCTAAAGAGAAGGAAAGCAATTACTTCAGAAAGTGATAAAACATCAACATATTTCTTCGTTTAAAGTGTTGAGGGGTAATGTGGCAGGCAGGACTGGGTTCCTGGCTGTCAAACATTCATTCTTTTTCTTAAGTTCAATTTCATTTCATCATAGCTACAAAAAAGTAGCCACAAAAACCCACTCAAAATGGAGTGGGTCACTCTTATCGAAACGACTTGTTTTTGTTTTTTGTTTTTTTTTAACAGTGCCGATAAATAAAAGAAAAATCAAATCCCATTTTCAAAATCTAATTTTTTTTTTTTTTTGGCTTTTAAATTAAAGTTGATTGTGAAAATGATTCGTCACGTTAAAAGAAAAAAAGGTGAAGGGTACGAATAGGATTACGACCAATGGACTCGTAACTGGGACGTGGTGGTTACATTTTAGCAGTAAAAAATATATATAAACTATAAACTTTTTTTAAAAAATCATCTTACTTAATATAAATATAGATTAATTATCTTTTTTAATTTAAAATAATAGAAATCCATAAGGATTAATTCAATTGATAAATAAAAAATTCTATTTTTTGTAAACCAAAATTTAATTTTTATGAAAAATATTTGTACAAATAAAATTTCAAAAAATCGAATCAATGTAAAAAGTACATTTTTAGGGATTTTGAACAAAGAATTAGATTCAAGTGAAATTTGAAGATGCCAATATTATTAAAAAAAATTATCATTATGCCCTTATTGGTGGAAAAATAAAAACTCCAGTTAGGATAGTTTATTTTAGTAATTATCAAATCAACCAATTTTCAGCTGTGGTAAAAAATCAGTGGTAACTAGTAAATATTTATAAAAAAAAAAAAGGAACATTTATTATTGGGCAGTAAAAAACAAACAGAAAGAGATAAAAAGGCAATTAAGCTGAAAGGCATTGGATAGGAGCGTCAAAGATCGGGTTAAGATCCGTCTCTGTAACTTAGTTGGCACGCGCGGTCTTCTCCTTTTTTGTCCTTCTCTTCTCGTTTCGCCTTTCGAGAATTTCTCCTTTTCTACGTGAGATACTCAAGCGTTGACGATATTTTGATCTGGTCAACGCTACTTGCTTCAATTAAGAAGATTATGATTATGGACCACACAAAGAACTCGCTTTCTAAGACGGACATCTGTCAAAAGAACTTGATGCCACGTGGCAGATATTCAAAGGTGAGTATTATGAGTTTTTTTTTAACGAGTTTAAGGAACAATTTTTGAGGAATAGCATCTTTATTAATAAGTTATTAGTTCAATTTATTGAAATTAAATTTTTTATATAAAAATTTTGTATTCAAATTTAATCAATAATTATTTATTAAAGTTATTTAAATTTTTTTTATTTTAATATTAAATTATTAAATATAATATATTTTATTTAATTTGAGGAATTCGATAATTTATTTATCTTAATTTTTTTAAATAAGTATATTATATTTATTTTATATTAAATATATAATATAAAAATTATTATATTATAATTTATTAATATTAAATATAAATTTTTTATTAAATTTATATATAATATTTTAATAAAATTTTAAAATATATTATTTTTATATGGTATTACCTTGTTTAAGATTAGAAAGAATGTTTAAGTCACTTCCATTATGATTACTTATATATTGGGTACCTTTTTTTTTTTTAAGTGGATTGGGTTTGAAGAAGAAAGCAAGGACCATGCCCAAAGTTGTACCACAGGTAGTTCCTAGTGTGCTTTAATTATGTGAAAGTACTCTTGCATCTAGCTGTAAAGTTTAAATTTTTTTGGCTTACATGGTTCTAAGACAAAATTTAATGATGATTAAGTTTTAATGACTCAACCTATTACCATGTGTTGGACACCTCATTGAAACATTGATCCTTCCTCTATGTTTCCAGTGTTGTCTTGTAATGAGTTGTAAAAATAGAGTAACTGTTTTAAGCTAAAGCTTAGTCAAAATAATATATTGCTTTCTTTCAAGGATAAAACAAGGTGTTTCATATTTTATTAGAGCATTTAAATATTTGAATTAGTAATTAATACATGATATTTTATAAAAAAATAAATTCCAAAATTTTCTTTTAAAATAAAAACTATATATTAAATATGGTTAAAATAATAACAAGTTTTTAAATTTTATCATTTTATTTAGATAAATTTTTATATTTTTATTATATTAAAATAAACTTTCAGCCTATAATTTACACTTAAATAAAATTAGATCTGATAATTTATATATTTATATCGTGTAAAATATTAAAATTTATGAATTCGTACTGTATTTTACACGAAAATTATGTGTTATAATTCTTATTGATATCAAAATATAAATATATTTTTTTAATTTTGTTACACATATATATATATAATTATTGCTAAATTTTAAATCATATCATTTTCATGTCTTATATTTATATTGTATTTATTTCGTGTCACCGTGTTGTGTTTTAAATTATCAAATCTAAATAAATCTTTCATCTCTGTTTTGTATATAAATAAATTTTAATTTTTTTATAGGTATTTAAATGAACTCTTAATATAATATATGATACATGTAAGACATCAATTTCTTACGATCATAAATGCTTAAAGTAAAACATTTACTCATTAAAATAGTCAATTTGTACAAGATTAAAGAGAATTAAAAATAATTAAATAATTAATTTAAATAATAATTTATTTAGATACAAATTAAAGTAGAAAATTTTATTTGAGTGAACTAAAAGTATAAAAATTTATGTAGGTAAAGGAATAAAATTCGAAAATTTTTTTTTAGCTAAGTGATAGTAAAATTAGTTTTTTTTTTTTTTTAATTAAAAGCGATGAGTTAAAATTTTAAACCTAATTCAAAAGATAAAAAAAAATATTGAAGATATTAATTAGAAATCGCCACATTCTCATGAAAAAAATATTAAAATATAATTCCATACTAAATACTAATTTCAAAGAGCAATTAGCATTTGCCTCGTTACCATGCTACCTTATATATCAAAAAATGACAAAGTGAGTGCAATTTGGCTTTAAAAAAATGGACAATTTAAGCATGGTAAACAAAAGAAAGAGAGCCTCAACTAATAGCCACGATGAAAACGAGCCAACCACGGCCATGGCTGGTTCTTAAAATCTCGGGAAAGGTGTTAAGGACGTGGAAAGATCCTTTCGGTTCTAGCCAGCCAGCCGGCCAGCCGGCCAGCCAGCCAAGCAGCGCAGATCCCTCAAGTCCTGTGACAAACCCTGTCTCTCCCCTGTTTCTTTTTGCATTCACATATTAACCCAGTAATTGTTATCATAGAGAAAAGACAATGTCACTAATATTTTTTTTCTTTTACACTGCCAGCAATCAAACACTGTATTTTGCAGTCTGTAAGACAAAAACAAATCCAAATTTTACTTACTTTTATCTCTTTCTCTGTTAAAACACGTCGACAATGGAGAGAGATATGAGGAGACACCAGATCCTGTCCTATATAACTTAAAAGTACTGCCTTAAGAACACCTATAATATGCTGGTTTTGCTGTTTTATTGTAAATCTTAGGAGTATTGTTTTATAATAATTTCTTTATCATCATCTTGCCTCGATATTGTAAACCTCAAGATTTGAATCGGGAACTCTCCTCATTCCTTCCTTTCTTTCTCTATATTTCTTTATGTTTTGTTCTTCCCTGGCTAACTATATTTGTATGCCGACTTGTTCTGCTTCAAAATCTTCTCTTTTGCTTTTGCACTACATTTTTCTGGTTAAAAGTTGAAACTCCTTCAAATCTTTCATGGTGCTGAAATCCATAGCTTGTTGAGATTGTTCTTTTTTATTGTTTTTTTAAATTTCTTTTGATGATGGGTCAAAAGCATTTGCACGAGTTACTTCAAGAGGATCAAGAGCCATTTCTTCTGAAGAAGTACATTGCTGACAGGCGTTGTCAATGGAAGAAACCATCACCTAAAACTCTTCTTCAAATCAAGAAACGAAAACCCATCTCTCAAAACTCAAACTTTCCTTCAAATTTCTGCAAAAACGCTTGCTTTTTCTCGTTCCATGACTCACCCGACCCGAGAAAGTCTCCATTGTTTGAATTTCCATCCCCAGCTAAAAGCCCTTGTAAAAGCCCCAATGCCATATTTCTTCACATCCCAGCAAGAACAGCAGCTCTTCTTCTTGAAGCTGCTCTCAGAATTCAAAAACATTCTTCATCAAAAACCAAACCGCAGAACAAAAACAATGGCAGTACTTTTGGCTTATTTGGTTCCATTCTAAAGAGGCTAACTCACCGTAACAGAAACCGAAAGCATGAAATAGCTAATGTTGGAGCTAAAGTTTCAATCAAGGACATTTTAAGGTGGGATTCAACTGTGGGCAAAAACAATCTAAGTCAAAGGAAAATATCTTCGGCAGTGGAAGAGAAAAGTGGTTCTGTAATGGGGTTTTCTTGTTCTTACGCTGGTAGGCCAAGCAGTGCTCATTGGTCAGAAAGCAACGAAGAAAAATCCTTGGATATGGATTTGGATACTTCCAGTAGCTATAGCCAGTCCGAGGATTTTGAAGAGATTTTCATGGCCAAAGATGTTTTACATGATAGCCGAGCTTTTGCTTCTTGTGATAAGCAATTTTGTGAAAGCCCTTTTCACTTTGTCCTTCAAAGAAGCCCTTCTTTTGGTCACCGGACACCTCTCTTCTCTTCCCCGGCTACATCCCCAAGTCGCCACCATAAAGAGGTTAGTACATTTAATTGAGAGATTAGTGATAATAAATGAATTAATCAATTGTTTAATTAAAAAAGCAACTCTTTGTTTAAACCTTCTTCCTTTTGGGAGTATTTGAGTGAACTCGTGACTAAGGTGACCGAGTTCTCTAACATGCTTGAACTGTCGGCGATCGCAATTAACTTCGCTGCAAATTTTGGCCCGAATTTGATTTGAATTGACAGATATACCCATTCTAGTCTTGGCTCTTTCTGTTTGGAAGGTTTCCATTAGTTTGACAAGTTTTGAGGGTAATATGTCATTTAGTCTTTTATCATGAACACTTTCTTGCAATGTTTGTTAAGTGTACTTTATGATCATGCGTCTGCCATGCAAACCTTTTTTTTATTAAGCGTCTGTCCAGTAATTAATTTCCCAGAAAGGACAAGCCCGTTTTTGTTTTTTCTGTTGGATCCCATCAACAAAATCAGACAACTGTTTCTAAGTTACTATATTCAGCGGCATTTTTTTTTAACAATTACCATATTGAAAAATGTTGTCTGAAGAATAACATGTCTTAATCAGAGGTTTTTGTTCTGGACTGTAACAGGACAAAGAAAATTATGCAGTAGAGAGCTTAAAAAAATTTCAAGTAGAAGAAGAGGAAGAAGAGAAAGAACAATGCAGTCCTGTTTCTGTTTTGGATCCTCCATTCGAGGATGATGACGGTGGACGTGTGGATGATGATGATGAGAACAATTTCGATCTTGAATGCAGCTATGCAATAGTACAAAGTATGTACCATTCCTTCTGGTTTTGTGAGGTCTTTATCAGTCAGCTTAGCTGTTATTACATATTCATGCATTTGCTCAGCTGAGGAATGGTTTAATTGATAGCTAAATATAAACATCTTAAATATCCATATAAAAAGCTGTTGATCAAATATTTTGGCGAGATAAGATTTCGCAAATGAATACAGCTTTTGATGATGATGACGATGACATATATGTGGGATCCATGGAAATTTTGTTGCCATATAGAGTTGATTGTGTACATTCAAGTTAGGTTAAAGTGACCTGTCGATGAAGCAGATATTAGTGTTTGTCATAACTTCAAGTGTGACCCACATACCAAAGTTAGGAGATCTGTCTTAATTGTGATCTTACCCTTGAAAATTTTCAGGGTTTATTTTGAAAACTTCATGCTTTTGATGATTCAAGCCATTTGTTTCTTCTGTTGGAAAACTTAAAAAATTTGGCAAAGACAAGTTAATTTTAAGCTGATTGCTTCATGAGGCAAAAGGCATTTAAGCCATCCCTTTTGCAACTAGAAGGAAGTATTACATATACATCAGTCACTTCTACTTTCAAAATTGAAGGCTTGGGCAGTTTGAATTGAATTCAGATGCAAATATAGGCCTGAAACCAGAAGAGTCTGGTCACTCCTTGTCACTGTCATAACTTTGCTTATGCCCTTCTCTTTAATGGTGGAACCCATTGTCACAGTTAACTCGGATTCATGAATATGGCAATCATCGTGCCCTTATTCATTTCCTTTTTTTATCTATTCCTCTCTGGATTTATCTTTGTTGTTTTGAAATATTGTCAGCATTCTTCATTCTGATGGAACCCATTGAATTTTAAATCCTTTCTTGATTAAAGCTCTAAAACATTAATGACTGGTGATTATCCTCTCTCAACTGTTATTTCAAATAGATGGAAAAACCAATAGTGTAAAAAAATCAAAACCATTGCTTATCTTAATTATTGTAGGAGCGCTTTATCAGTATATTCATGTCCTTTTTGATTTTCCTCGTTTTATCACCAGAAGCAAAGCAGCAGCTACTGCACAAACTTGGTAGATTTGAGAAACTGGCTCAACTGGATCCAATTGAACTTGAGAAAAGAATGTTAGAACAAGAACAAGATGATGATAATGATGACAATAGTATATGTGACCTAGAGGAAGAAGAGGAGTTCGAGCACGAGTCAGCTTCATCAGATAGTGAAATGAATGTCAACGGCTTTCTCAAACGAGTGCTTAAATCAAGTTTCCACAATCTAAGACATACACCAGAAGGCATGAAGAGGCTAGTATCAGATCTCATTGCTGAGGAAAAGACACAGCAGAACTGCTACATTGATAGAGAAGTGGTGGCCAAAAGGGTTTGTAAAAGGCTGGAGTCATGGAAGGAGGTGGAATCAAACACCATTGACATGATGGTGGAACAAGATTTCAGAAGAGAGCTAGTTGGTTGGAAGAGAAATCAAGAGCAGATCGGAGAGACAGCATTAGAAATTGAATATGCCATCTTTGGATTACTGATAGAAGAATTGTCAGAAGAACTAGTTTGTTTAACCGGGGTTTGATGGGGAAAAATTTTGAAAAAACTAAGTTGTCAAAAATGAATTGTATTTGGTTTCACTTTCTTTCATTTTTTTTTCCTCTCAAAATCATATATTAATTAGAGGAGTACAGTCTGACTTGCTTTGAAATGATAGGCTAAGTAGAAAGATGTATGGAGGTGAAAGCAAGAAGGATGTCAAATAGCAGGTACTATGTATATGCAATCATCTATTTACTGGGTGTAATGGTGTAATATGGATCCTGTTTTTAATGAGATATGAACAATTCCTAGCTCTATATATTTAATAACATATTTTTCTACATCAACATTATTCTTTACTGTCCACTGATGTTTGGATCAGTTGACATAAGATTTTTGCTGGCACTTGGAGTTAGCAGGTTCGAATGAGTTCACGTGCCTAAAGGGATTTGAGGTTTAAGGTAAATTAAGAGATTTAAAAAACATTGTTTTAATTTTCTCTATCAACAGATCGCACGGGTGTGGATATAAACAAAATTTTGCATGTTTGAATTTCCCTTACCTTAAATATTAGGTTACCCTTTGGTCTTAATATGCAGAACATATCTGCTTGCTAAAATGTCTGAAACTGTAAAGTTATTATTTCTTCTTATTTTTACAGTAGTATCATTACAACAGAATCCTCTCAGCAATTAGTGATCAGGGTTTGATCAAACAATGAGGAAAGGCAAAGCTTGTGGCTGCCTTGTACTGAAATGAACAGCAACATTGAAGAAAGGAATATGACAAGAATTTAGCTATTTTGAAGAATCATTTTCAGAATTTTGTAATTTTGCAAAATCACTTGTCCCCTGGTAAGGGAAAACGCTGATAATAATTCTGGAGAAAGATCCAAAGCATTGGCAAAGAAATTTCAACCAAAATTGAATAAAAAGATTCATAATTCCTTCAATAATTAATGGTTACAATACAAGCAATATCACTTCACCAATCTGATTAAATACTTCAGCCAAAGGTGGCAGTCTCTCAATGAAGTTCCCCTCCAATACTTCATATGGTCATGTCTTGGCTCAACTGCAATGTAAATTTCTTGATTGTACTTTGTCTATTGTCTAGTCACATCTGGCACATTGCCAAATGAACATGATTTTGAGTGACTGGACATGAAAACCTATTACTAAAATCTTGCAGCTTGACCCATTACTGAGGAAAGCATCGAAAAGAACCAATAGTGGGCTTAAAAATAGTGGAAGCCGCCCACTTGGAGGGCCCAACTAATTATAAAACCACTACAAGTTTGATCTTGTTAATTTTTATATGCATTTTTTTACTACAAGTTAGAATAATTTTTCTTTTGAAATTACAAAAATAAAAAATTACAATCATAATTATTATATTTATACATAAAAATTATTAAACCAATCAATAAGTAAAAATTTAACCAAATAAATTCGATAACAAATTAAATCAAATCTACACAAAGTAAAATTTAATTCAAGATCTTAGAGTTTTAAGTTGAACTTTTTTTTAGATAAAATTTCGTTAATTAGTCCTATATTTCATATTCTTTGCCCATTTCTTTAGATTGCAAGATTATTCTTTTTTTTATAAATGCATGAACATCGTCTTTTTTTAACTTAATAAAAGTAAAAAAAAAATAAATGGAAGAAATGTATATTATATAATAAAAAGTAATTTTCTTCTATCTAATAAATTTCGCTGTGTCTATATTCAAATTTAAACATGAAATTTCAAAAATGAAATGTTAAGTTTAAATGTTGTGAGGTTCCTTTGAAGACTTTTTAAGTTAGACATGTAACTTTTGTCACTGTTTATAAAAATAACAAAAGCTTGACCAATTGACTAGGAAGAAATAGCGTAGGTCCAAAGGGGTGGTCCAAGTTTTCAACAGCATGTGATTTAATCAAAATGCAATTAATGGATTTTTTTTTTGGGGGGGGGGGGGGTGTTCTTTTTCAATTTTTGACCATGTCAATTCTTTGGAAATGGCTGATGACATGGATGATGACGTGGCTGGGTTGAGTATGCATGTATGATGTTTGTAAATTGTGGGGTTGGATCAAAAAGAATGCTTCTCCCCTTGTGGAAAATTGAAAAATACAAAATGAAATTCTTTGTCACTTTTGAATTTTGATGCTCTCCTTGTCAATTTGTCATTTCTTATCCCAATAGACAAATGAAATAACGTTGAATATGGTCCACAAAAATAGTATTTTAGTCTAAATAACTTTGCCAACTAACATGATCGATTTAACAATTTCCTCTAACCAAAATAATAATTTAAAATTTAATTTAATTAATTCATACAACTACTCAAAGATGATATTTAATGAAGGTTTTAAGTTAAAAAGTTAAAATTCAATCTTTTAATTTTTATTTTTAGATTACGATATTTTTCTAACAAAATGAAATGCAAAAAAAAATAAGACAAATGAAATTGAATTGATATAAAAAATTCAATTTATTTGAAAATTTAATCATATTATGCAAATGATTACTCTCTCATTTTTCACTTCATTCACTCTACGTGGAAACATGAAAAAAAAGGTTAGAAGATATACTGATAATTAATTGTCATTAAAGATCATTCAATAATAAACCATGACTTACTAAAAAATGTGTTTTACCATTAGGGTTTGATTCAAATTGTAAAAATAAAGTAAAATTTAGGAAAATATTTTAAGTTTAAACTTACTACTTTTTTCTTCAATTATAAAACTATTTTGAAAATGTTTTAATTGTGATTCTAACATCTAGCCTAATACTATAAAATTACATAGAGATTGTATATTCATGAGGTTTAATCCGGTTTGACAGAGAAAAAAATTTTTTTTTATCGTTTAGAATTTAATCTTCATAAAACACGATTTAATTTTTTAGGGTAAAACTTTAAAAGTATTAAATTGTAAAAAAACATTTTTTAAAATTATTTGAAAAATTAAATTCAAATAAAATTCGAAGATATCCGAATAATATTATAAAAAAGTGTATAATCCAATTATTTAGATAAAATATTTTCGTCAACACATGCACTGTTTCTTCTAACTTTCCAAATTAATAAAAAAAGTAAAAAGGTGTGAAAAAGAAGCCGCCATATAATACTTGCACATTCCATACGTTCCTTTTGTGGTTTTCATTTTTTAATTCATAAAATGGCAAAAGTTCTTGCTAAAAGGAACAGAGTGACGGGACTAGAACGCACACGTTACATGTTTTTATCAAAATTTCTAAACCATCAGATTAAGAATCAGAATGCACCTTTTGCGGTTTTGCCAATATAACAAATTATTCTTTCTAGCTTTTGAATTTTAATTACCTATATACAGACACGGTTGTAATACTAAGCGTCCTAGCATGTACGAACCCTAAATTTCTTTATTTATTTCATGTTGCGAACATGCTCTCACGAATAATTTCATTGTTTCAACTTAAAATTTGTTGTTTTAAGTTTTTCGAATATGGGGTTTTTGAATGCTTCCGTCTTGTTTCGTACGAAGAATCATTTCCTTTAAAAATGCAATTTCAATTCAATGAATTTGTCGGAAAAAGAAAGAAATTTATTGTGAATAATATCAATATTCAATATTTCAACATTCATGAGTACAACTTTTGTAACAAAGTATATAACTATATACTTATCATTAGACATAAATTTTAAGAGTTGTTATTAATTTTTTTATTTAAATATGATTGATTATTTGATTGAATTTATCTCACTTTAAAGAGATGTCTCAAACTTGATTTGGATATTTTTAAAAGGTATATTCTAATTTATAAAATCAGATTTTAGGTTTGAGAGTACAATTACGTGTGAGAAAAGTTATAACATTCTCAATACATCTATCTAAAAGATGGTACCGATTTAATTTTAAATTATCCAAGCCATGAAGTCTCTTTATAATTCTACTATATAATTTAATTATTAAAAATTAATCTTAAAATTACTCTAATAATTTGATAGTAATTTAAGATAATTTTTTCACTTCAAAAGTATTTATGGTGATTAGTATTTTACATTGAAGAGTTTTTATTGTTGGATTCATTAAAATTTTTTGTAAAAAACTTTAATTTGTGAAAACAATTTATTCTCGAAAATATATTCTAATATGTTTGTAAGATTTTTTTATAAAGAATTATCATCTAATCTGTTAGTAAAATTTTTAAAAAATATTTTTTGAAAAATTTATTAAGTCTTTTAATAGTTTGGTAAGACTTAATTTAAAATTTAAATCTTTCAATAATTTGATAAGATTAAAAAATACTTTTTAAAAACTTTTTTTAAAATTTGAAAGAAAAAAATTAAAATAAACAAAAATTATCATGCAATGCAATTATGTAATATATTTACTAAAACACACAATAAGTATAAAAACATGCAATTGTATATTTAAAAAAATTGTGCAAATATATTAAATTCATGCTAAAATAATATATTATTATCACATTAATTAAAACAAACATAACAAAAATATAAATATAAAAATAATATATATATACATAAAAAAAATCAAAAATCAAACTAGAAAAGAAAAAAAAAAGACAAACCTGATGCCAGTGTCAAAAAATTCAAAAAGGTGCCAAAAAGTTCAAACCTCCTAGAAACAATTAACAAACCCAAAAAAAGGTCGTCATGGTATCCCTTTAACCATCGTTACTCCACCGAAAAACTAATAAAAAAATCCAAAAATATTAAGAGAAACCATAAAAAAATTCTAGAAATTCAAACTTCTTAAAAAAAACCTCAAAAATTAAAAGTTCCCTAGAAATACAAAACAAATCACCAAATAACCAAAATCAAAACTCAGAAATTAATTTCCAACAAAATCCAAATTTCCTAAAATTATTCTCAACTTTTCAAAAGAATTCCCAACTGCTAAAAAAACCCTAAACTCAAAATAATCCCCAAAATTCTAAAAAAAACCAACTCAGAACAAAGTTCAGAACATCAAAACCCAAAATCTAGAAATCCAAATCAGACGTTCCCTAAAATTAAAACCTAAACCTCGAAAACTATTATTGCTTGGAATTTTTTTCCTTCATTTTTTGTGTCATTGATTTTCTGTGTCTTATAGGAATTTAATGCCTCTCCAAGTTGGAAACATATCAAAAAAGGATTTTATTGTGATTCTGTGATTTGATTTTGAGTTTCTTTTTTTACAAGATTTGGTCTTGCATGAATCAAGTCAAAATCCCTTTTTTTTTTTTTTTTTTACTTTTTTGAGAAAAAAGTAAAATTTAATTAAAAAATTGAATAAAACCAAATTAAAATTAAAATTTTTCTATTGAGCTCGAAGCTTTCCAATTGGGCCCAATTTATGGT